TTGTCCTTAACTCACCCCACGGTGCCTAATTATTGCTTGAATTTCAATATAGTTTGTCAATTCACACACCGGATATGTTGCAACTTGAGAGAGTGAAGTAACAATTGCCTATGACCTGCTTGCGGTATCTCTATGTGGGGTTCACATTAAAGGCCTCTTGTCCCGACAGATGAGTAGCCTGATAATAGAAATTAAACATAACTCCTAACTGCAGGCTCTTTTTGTTTCTCTGATGGCTGCAGACACAAAGCAGAATAGTTGCCATTTTGGGGAACTTTCATTATTACGAAGAATTTCCCTTCCCTCACTCCAGGAAAGCAGGCTTTATCTAGAGGGAGAGTAGGTGGGGCAGGGTGTATGCAATTCATTTAGAGAGTCTTTATACCAGTGAATTTCACTTTTTTTCCTAGGGGAAAGGGGCTGAGCTCTATCTATTTATTTTCCTTAAGGCTTAAGGTTTTTGTTTTGTTTTGTTTTTGAGGTGGTGGGGAAGTGTGAGGCGCTGAAATGTTTACTGATAACAGTGGAAAGAAGGGTGCTAGCTTTGGACTCAGAGAACCTGCGTTCCAATTCTATCTCTAATGCTTATTACCTGTGCTACCCCCGAAAGTTTTTTGAACCTTTCAGGGTTTCAATTTCCCCCCTATAAAACTGGAGTGTGTGTGGGGAACCTTCAAAGTCTGATCCTATAACAAAACTGTGGAGGAAGCCCTACTATTGGCTTTGCTTCACACAAAGGACAGGGCAGTAAAGTAGAGAGAGAGACACATGGAGGCAACCAGGCTGAGCACCTGCTAATAAGGCCTCAGGTTCCTACCTCCATGCCTGGAAGGTTCTGCTTCATAGAATCTCTACCAGTACAGCTCAGGCACCATCTCCTACAGGAAGCCTCTCCGGATTATGTCTTCTCCTTTCCCCTCCCTCCCCAAACACTTTATCCTTCTCTCCTCTCTTCTCCGCCCCCCCAACTCAAGATCATAGATTGAGAGATGAAAGGCCATCTAATCCAACCTCCTCATTCTAGAGAGGAAGAAACCAAGGCTCAGGGAGGTTATGCCTTAACCAAGGTCACAAAGGTGAGGGGCCCCCAGCTTCAGAGCCCCTGTCAGGACCCACTGACTCGTTTTAGGGTCACTGCTCTCAGCTGTGCTATGCTGCCTCCCATGTAGAGTGTGTCCTTTCCTCCCAGAAAAAAAAATGTAAGCTCTTGGAGGATAGGGATTGATTAATTTCTATCTTTGTATTCCCACTCAACCTCTAGTACCTGGAACACGGTGACAACAGCAATAATGTACAATAATAACGTGTAATAAGCATTTACATGGCACTTTATGGCTTGCAAAGTGCTTTACAAATACTATTTCATTTGATTCAACACCCCTGGGAGGTAGTTGCTATTATCCTCATTTTACAGATGAGGAAACTGAGTCAGAGGTTAAGTGACTTGCTCAGGGTCATGTGGCTAGTAAGTGTCTGAGGGTGGTTTTGAATTCACATTTTCCAGACTCCAGGTCCACCATAGGTGATCAATAAATGCTTGTTTTATCGTAACAGATAAACACTTACCAAATTGAATTAAATCCTGATCTGGTTTAGAATCTCTGGTTTAAGAGAACAGCTTCTATTACAGAAAATACCATGTGCCAGAAAAGAATACTCAGAGAAATTATTTCTATACATGAGGGGACCTGGAACCCTAACATGTATGAATCTGTTTCATTGGTTTTCCAAGGTCTTAGAATCACAGAACACAGAATGGCAGAGCTGAATGGACTTTAGAGATCCTCTTTTCCAACCCCCTCACCTTGAAGATCAGGGAACTGAGACCCAGAAAGATAAGTGACTTTGGATAAAGAACTCCAGTTGAGCTGAACTGAGCTCCCCCTCCCTGGAAATCTTGAAGCAAACACTGGATGAGTGACTACCTGCCCTGTGGGCAGTAGAGGACTTTTTTTCCCCTTGCCATGGACCAGGCTAACATCACTCCAAATGCTGAAACTGTGTCTGTCCTAGAAAGGTGATTCCCCTCCTCCTCCCATACAAATATTGTACGAATTGTTAACTGACTTCTAACAATTAAAAATTAGAAAAATATCAGCTAGGTATTTGCAGGTCTTTCTGAAGTCAAAGCTCTCTATCCCAGCTACACCACACTCAGGACCTACGACTATCATTTATGGACAAGATCACAAGCCAGCATCAGTTCACTGATTTCCTGGACTCTACTTTACCTTCAAAAAAAACCCCATACTAACATAAAATTGAGTGTATTGGAATTGTATTAATTCTGTAGTGTGATCTGGAGGTCTAGTGTGCTTGCAAGACTCTGCACAGCCTTTGTGCTGTGGATGTACACTTAGAGATTAACATGCCATATCTACTGTCTCTTTCATATACACGGATGACATCTCACACATGATTAATTAGACTTGGAAATGCTTTGGGTTGGTTTTCCCCCACCTCCTGCCCAGTGGCTTTGGCCAGTTTCCATTTATGCTCCTTTTCTCAGTTCCCCTGGTGACCAAGGCTGTGCACCTGCAAGTTAGCTGGGCATAGATAGGGGTGCACTCTAAGCCATACAAGAGAAACTAAGTGGCCCTTAGCAACAGGCTGAGAGCCCTTTGGCCTTAGCCTCATTAGCTAGGGCTCTAACCAAAAAGCTACTAGATGGTGGGCAGATAGATAACTGGAAGATTTCTTCAAGGTATTTAGTCTCTGAACACTCATCAATGATTTTAAATGAGTATTTTCTGCTGTACTTTAGCTACATTAAATTTGTTGTGCATGAGCTGAAGAAAACATTGTGGTAAGAATTTTCATTTTGAAGAAAGTCCAACAGACAAAACCTCTTGCTTAACAAGCATGTAGAAATGAACCACTTTACTTAGAAGAAAGTAATTATTCAAAATAAGGCAAAATCTGTTACAAATTATATTTTCAAAACTGGATTGAAGGCTTGTAATGTGGTCTCTCTATGCAACAAAAAAGTTAGATTTTTCCCCCCTTTTCTACATGCTTTAGAAAGACTGCTCATCTTATTTTCAAATGGAGACTATTCACCTCCTTCAATGTGATTTAATAAACATTTACTAACAGTCTACCACATGCCAGGGACTGTCCTAAAAGTTCGTATACAGAGATAGAAAAAGAAACTGTCCTTACTCTCTTAGCTTAGGTTTTACTGGATAGAACCCACAACAAAACCCTGACCCTCCTCTTACTCCCCCCCCCGCCCCCCGTTTAACCACCCCAGCCCATTATCACTTTTTTATGTAATATTTTGTGACTTGTGCTGATGTGACACACACTTATCAAAAGTATAAGGTGGAAAAACTTCCCTGCTCTCTGCTGCTGTCGATGCATATATTTGGTAAACATGTAGCAAATTATCTTATTTTTGCTAAATAATGAGAGATGATCGAACAAACCTTTAAAACAGACCCAGCTTAAGATAAATACCACCATATGCCTAATTCACAATACATTTGGGTAGAAACATTTCATTTATAATGTTTTGTGTGCGTGTGTGTATATACCCTTTTCCTGTGTTTTTCTCTCCTGATTTTTGGGGTCTGGACGGAAATTTAAAATCAGTGGCTTATTACAGATGAAATGCCTTTCCAGATACAAGTAACATACTGTATATACACAAACGTGTGTGTATTCACACAGTTTTGCAAACAAATGCACATGTATAGGCTGTATATACATACAGAAATATTCGTGTATTATCCGACTGGATATTTTATGTAATCACATCTTTTATACGATCACATGGGTAGATGATGTAGATGGAGAACAATCTCACCATTAGGATATAATCACTGGGCAGTTGGGAGTCCAGGTGATTGTATGATTCTTCATAAAAAGTTAAATGATGTTTTATGCTACTCCTTGGTGTTTCTCCCCAACCCCCACCCCTTCCCTTCTGCCTGGCAAACAACAAATAAATCCCCGGAAATGAAAATGCACTTGGGTGCTTGGATCTCTGAATGTGCCTCTGTTCTCTGTGTATTTTAGAAAAGAATGGGCATCCCAGTGCCCTTCCTCCCCCCACCGGCCTTGCAGCTGGGGGAAGGAGGCAAGAGGCCAGGCTCCCCGGGGATGGCTCCCCGCTCAGGCTTCCACCGCCCCCTCCCGCTTCCCAGTCCCTCCCTCCCGTCCCTGGTCCCCGGTTTCCCTCCCTTCTCTCAGCTCCTGCTCCCCTTCACTCTTCCCATCCCTTTCCCTCCCCCTGCTTCCTATTCCCTCCCCCTCTTCTCGAAGCTCCATTTCCCCAGTCCCTCCTTTTCCTCTCCCCTCCCCCTGCCCTCCTCCTCGATCGTTTTCCGGCCCACTCCCCGGTTCCTTCCCTTCCTTCTTCCTTCCCTCCCCCTTCCTTCCGCGTCTCCAGACTAGTTCCCCTCCCTTCTCCTTTCCCTTCCCCCTCCCCTCCCGGCTCCTTTCTCCTCCCCTTTCCCCTCCCCCGCGCCTTCCCCTCCCTCCCCCGGCCGCTTTCTCCTCCCCTCGCTTTCCCTTCCCCCACCGCGCCCTCCCCCTCCTTCCCCTCCTCCCCCTCGCCCCTCCCCTCCCCGGCCCTGCCCCCTCCCCGCCCCGGGCGGGCGCTGGCTGCCTGCGCCGGCTGCGCTGCTCTGCGCTGCGCTCGGGTTTGTTTGGCTGTGCGGCAGGAGCCGCCGCCGCCGCCGCCGCCGCCGCCGCCGCCGCCGCCGCCGCGGGCCTCTCCAGCTCATTTGCGCCTGGCTGGTCCGGCCCCCTCCCCTCCCCCTCCCGTTCCCCTCCCCCTCCGCGCTCGCTCCCCGCTCCCCGCGCCCCGCGCCCCGCTCCCCGGCGCGGAGAGTCTGAGCCGTTGGCCGCCCGCTCCGAGCCGCAGGGCTCCAGCCTCCGTGCTCCGCTCCTGCTCGCGGCCCGGCGGCGGCGCGGCGGCCGCCCCCTCCCCCGGCCCGGCTCGCGCCCCCCGCCCCGGCCGCCCCCGCCCCGGCCGCCCCCGCGCGGAGCAGGGAGGCGGGCGTAGCTGGGAGGGCTCCTCGGCGGCGGCGGCGGAGTCGCGCTGCCCGCCCGGAGCCCAGCCCGGAGCCGAGGCCGCTCCCGCCCGGGCTGCGCGGTCCGACGAGGAGCCTGAGGCCGGCCGGCCGGCCGGGGGCACTTGCTGGGCCTCCACTGCGGGCGGGAGGGGCAGCCGAGCCCCGGCCCAGCCCAGCCCCGGGGAGCGGCGCCAGGTAAGGGGGAGGCCGGGCCGGAGCCTGGGCGGGGGGGGGGCGCGCGTGCTTGGAGGGTCTGGGTGTTTATCGGGGGGGCTGTTTTGGGGAGGGGGCTAGCGCTCAGGAAGGGGCTCTGTGCTTGTGTAGGTAGGCTGGGTATTTGTGGGAGGGGGCTGTGTTTATACGGGGGTGTCTGCGCCGGTCCCTTGTGGCGGGCGTGGGGGATGGGCACAAGTGTAACACACATTTTTCAACTTGGCCCTTTGGGGAGCTGGTGTTTGACGGGGTGCTATTATTATCCTCATTATTATTGGTATTCAGCCTCCCCTCCCCCGCTCCTACGAACCTCAGCAAGGTGATCCTGCTCTCTGTTTCGTTGTTTTTTTTTTAATTCTCCCCACCCCCACCTCCCCCTGTGCACTCTCCATCTTCGGTGCCTTTTCCCTCCTTTGGGGAAAGCTTTCAGGAAAAGAATTTGCAGCAGATTGAATCTAGGAGCCATCATTAGGCAGCTTCCTTTAGAGCCTATTTTTAGCGAAGAAGGAGTCTTTCCGTGCATATTTATGATTATTAGCATTAATTTTTTGCAACCCACCAGCAGCAAGCGGAAAAAAAATTTTTTGTTACTTAAAAGGGGGAAAATTTTTTCCCATCCCCACCTCCTCAAGTGGTTGACCTTTGGTCTGTATAAATCTCCCGGATGGTTTATGGTAGTTTTCTGTCGTGTAAATTTTAGGAAACGAGGGATGTAATTGGAAGGATGAAAAATGCTTGGTGCCTGAACTCATGCTGAAGGGGGGAGGGGAAAGCACATACACACTGTCCTCACTTTCCCACTGTGTGATTTGGGTTTCCTTTCTCTTCCTGGGAGCTGTTTCTTTGTAACTTTGTTGTTGTTTTAAAATTTATCTTCAGGAAGTATTCAGGAGAGGAGTGTTTTTGAAGTTGTTTTTTTAAAGTGTATTTTGAGCAAAGTTGTTAGTTTGCTGGTAAGTTTTGTCTAGAACGGTCACTTTTTTTTTTTGACAGTGTAAAGGCCACGTTGTTAGTATAAAGTAGCAGCAGTTTGATGGAAACTACCCTATAGATGTGTTTTTCCAGCCGAAGCCGACTTTTATTTATGTAGAAATTAACCTGAGGATGTAGTGTGAATGATTTCATGAATACATTACCATATACTCACCACTTTTGGAGAAGTTAAATTTTGGAACATTAACCACTTTATATTTTCAGCCAAGATAAACTTAATGCAGTGAGCATAAATGTATGTAGTAAGCTTTTGGGTAAAACTTTATGTGGGATTGGTACTGGTTCTCACATTGGGCTTCCAAATAATGTCATTCTCTTCTTAAAGGTCCTTTTGTAAATTACAAAGGAGAGATCCCAAGTCAGGCTTAAAATGGTTGTAATATTTTTCAGTGTTATTGTTAATTAAAACTTTGGTTTGGGCAGCCCTCTCTTCTCATTTAAAAATAGGTCTCTTATGTGACATTTTACTGTCTGTAATTTAAATGCTCTGCTTTGGAAATTTTACTAATAGTCATGTCCACTTTCCTTGTTTTCCAAATAATTTTGTTGATTTGCTAGCTATGCTGAATGAAATCGGGTTGTTGAAGACAAGGGTAATTATTTGAGCCTGATTGGTTTAATTTTTTTTCCCCTTTGCTAAGTTGTAATTAAGTAATAACCTCTTTTCCCTTTCCTGGGGATTCCCTCTTGTGTGTAGATAATAAGGGGTCCTCATGATGTTTTTCTTCAACATGCCTAAACCAATTTGGAATGGTAGAGTGTTTTTTTTTTTTAATGCTTTTAGGCAAATGCTAGTGACTGTGCTGACATTCCCAGTGTGACTTTTTTTTTTTGTTAAGTGAGATATGTTGCGTCTTTGGTGTATGTTTTTAATCCCAGATCACCTGAGATTGTGTTCTTGCTATCTCAAGTTGTTACTCAAAGGAGTCAGGACAGCTTTGTTTGTCTCTATGAAAACAGGGTGTACATAGGGTTGTTTCATGGGAGTTTAATGGCAGGCCTCCCAGATTATCATTGACAACTCCTAGAAGTATTTAGCATTTGCTTCTTGGGAAGGGGAGGAGTGGCAGTGAGGATGGCAGAGGAGTAATAGTAGAAAGAGAAATTGGCTAACCATTAAACGGTTGGATTCCTGATGCTTCTTTATGAAAGTTTTCTCCCTTATGTACTTTCATTGCTTGTATTTGAAATGTCTTACATTTTTAAAAAAGTTTGCTTTGATTATTTCATATAGCTAATCAGTAATTACCTGTATGTGAATTTCAGTTTATTGAAAAGATAAGGAAATCATAATCATTGTTTCGGTGAAGTATTGATTTTTTTTTAAACTTTAAGTACATAGAAGATTAACTAGACAGGAACTACTGCAAAAAGAGGTGTCAAATTTCCAATTTTAAATGGAAATAAAAATCAGTACCCATAAAAAAATGATTTGTATGCTAAGAAAGTTTTCCTTAATCTTAGAGGTTCAGGTCAGTTCTATGTATTAATAGTTATTTTAAAAACACCCTAAACTTTTTTGTTATAGAGCTCAATCATTACTACCAAGCTAGCCTTAAGCTAGCCTTGCTTTGTAGTTAGACTAGCTTTGGTGAAATGGAGTGGTTCCTCTTGTTGTGTGTGTATTTTATGTTTATTTCAAGGATTACATAAATTTTAATAACTTTTTTTTGCACACATCCAGAAATCTTTCCTATGTTTTAATATCTAAGTAAGATTCTTGATAATAGTACGTGCATAACAAAATAACCAGTTTTCTTTACATTTAGTAACTTATGTACTCAAGGCAGTTCAAACTAATACCCAGAAAGGAAAGAAGCACAATATAAGCACGCGCATTGCCCAAAAAGGAGATGTGGTTAAAGGACCTTTTGAATGACAACCTGTTGAATAAATACATCTGTTCCTGTGTGGCAGTGAAGCATAAATAAAACCTTGTCAGATGAATGGTTGACAAAGGAACCACCTTTTATAATTGATTACTGTGCTAAGAAATTCTGACTGGCCGTGTTTGGGGTGAAGTTGGTAGGGAGGATTTGGTTGGTATTGCTCACCTGTCTCTTAATTTCTGCTTGAATACAAAATGGCTGGTGGTGGAAACTTGTTGGCATTCCGTGGCAGGTGGGGAGAGGTGGAAGGCATATCGGTCATATATATGTGTGGATTTCAGAATTAGGATGTCATTTTCCACATTCCTTAAGTAACATTTATGAAGTTAGATCTCCTTGAAAAGAGGAAGAAGGAGGCAGCTAATGTGTAACCAGCTAGAGGTGTAAATTCTGCCCAGACCTTCTGTAGTCTGGGAAGAATCCATGGACAAAGGGGACCCAAAAGGCAGTATAGTGGGGAGATGCTGTTGTTTGGAGCTAGAAGAGGACCTGAGTTCAAGTTCCAGCTGTGCGACCTTCAGCAGATGTATAGTGCTTGGGCACATGGTAGCTGCATAATAAATGTTTATTGCCATACTTGGCCCCTCTGGACTTCATCTCATCTGTAAAAGGAGAGAGTTTTAGACTAGATGACCTCGAAGGCCCTTTCTAGCCTTAAAACCATGAAAGCACTAGAGCTGAAAGCTGGGAGGGGTGTGAAATCTTGCCTACAGGATTGGTGTGGTTTGGAGGCAGCTAGGGTGACGTTTTCTCACCCTCTTCACCAAGCAGCTGAAGTTCTTCAAAGGTAGGAAGATTGCCCAGGAAAGAAACCTCATAAAAAATAGTAATTGTTGAAGTGGTACAGCCCTTTGGCAGTGATGTTGGCGCTGTGGGTCTAGTGGCCGCTGTTGCTACTTCTGTTATATTTCTTTGGTTACCAAAGCTATTTCTCTGCTTAGTGGAGCTTCTTAGAACAGTTTTTAGGAGTGTGTGTGTGTGTGTGTGTGTGTTTTGTCAGGCCCCCCCCCCTTTTGGAGGGGCCTCAGAATGTTACTGTAACAGCCTTTCTGCTAACTGGGTCAAGTTATCACTTGAGCACTTTAATGGATCTCAAGCCGTGCAGTTCTTGTCTGTCTTTCCATAAGCCCCTCCATAGAGCTCCACCTAACTCAATACATTAGAGTCCTCCTTCCGGTAATTCTCAAACTTTATTATCCCTCACTTTCAAATTCATGAGGAGATATAACCTCCTTTTCAGGTCCTCCATGCCCTTCAGTGTCTTTTTCCCCCCTTTCTTTTTGCCATTTTGCTACTCCCATCAGTCTTGTAGAGGAAGGTGTCGTAGGACCACGGGCTGCTTTGGGGTTTTTCTTTCTTTCAGGGTCCCAAAAATGTATCACTTATTTATTGTCCAGACCTTTTGATGCTGAGTCTTTTCCTTGTTTCCTTTGCTAGACTATAAACTGTTTCACTTTTTTTGTTTTTGTAGTTTCAGTGCCTAGCACAGTGCTTGGCACATAGTAAATGCTTATTGATCGATTGGGTGGAAAAGAAACCATCACTGTGTGTTTTAGCCAAATTGTCAGGCAGTTTATTAACATACAGGCATATGAAGGAACAAAATTTTTCCTTACTGACCACTTTTCACCAAGCAGTTTCAAACCTAAGTTCAATAGTTAGCATGAAATAAAGGATGAATAAATTTCAGAAGCCCATAAGCAAAGAGACGTAGTTTTAAGTTTAGGGTTTTTGATTTACAGGTAGAACAATGGTAACGTTAATGACGGTATGCCCTTGGAGAAAATGCCTTCCCCAAATCAAGTCCGGTCAGCAGTAAAAAGGAGATACCTTTTGTGAATTAATAAAAAAAGACATTCCCAATCTTAGTTTGGTCACCATAAACCAGCTGATTTCCACTGAGTTGGGCCACAATAAATAATAGTGATTGAGTCTCAGAAAATTGAGGTCAGTTGCTGAAATGGATTAGACCATCTGTATTTAAGAGAGACCAGACCAGGGAAGGCTTCAGACTGGGATACTGTTATAAGGATGATTTCATAGTTTTTATAATGCAGTTGAGGCCCCATTGCTACCCACTTCCACAGCTGATTGACTCAG